CTGCCTCCCAATCTCCCTAAGGCTTCGTTAGCCCCAGCCCCTTCAGCCAGCCAGGCCTGGGCCCCTGTGGACACGCAGCTTGTTCTCAAGATGGGGACCCCACCCCCTCCTGTGCCTGGGCCCATTGATCAGAAATAGCTGGGGGGCTCTCAGCTGGGAAGAGAAGAAGCTGGGAAGGGAAACAAGGAGGGAGAGAGGGGCTTTGAAACGTCAGAATCTTCCCACCTGCCCCCCTTCTGCATGGGCCCGCCCCAGAGCTGGACCAACCCAGCTCTTAGCCCAGGCTCAGACATCGCAGTCTGAAGATGGTTTGAAGAAAGGCCCAGCATACCCCAAAGCCAGGATCTCACCTGTGAAGACCGGGTACCCCACTCAGGTGGCTGAACCTCAGCCAGGGGACATGGACAAAGGACGATCGTAGAGGGAAAGACAGTCCTGCAGAGACCGAGGACCGACCATGCTTGCCTGAGCTGAACCCAGGTGCTGAGGATAAGCAGACCAAGAGTACCTGGCCACCCCTTGTGGCAGACAGGGCCCCTTGAGTGGCAGCTGTACCCCTGGCCCGGCTGAGAGGTTTTCTCAAGGAGGTGGACATCCTGTCCCCATGGCAGGTATGGTACGGGCAGCAGAGGCAGCCTCATGGATGAGCTCAGACTCCAGGATGGGTGGGGAGGAGGGGGTACTACAACATAGGCAAGAGGGTGGGGCAGGGGCTCCCCGTGCCGTGGTCTCAGAAGGGCTTGAAGTCTCCCAGGTGCAATAATGGGAGTACCAAGAGGCAGAGGAACCGTGCCACTTTTGGGAGATAAGAGCCGAATTGGGCGTGAGTACACTTGGACCTATTCCTTGCCCTGTCTGGCCTCAGCCACTTGAGCATCGCAATGGGCGCTGGGCAAGAATCCTATAACTTCCCTTCCAGACCGGGTGCTCCATTTCCCTGAAAATTGTCAGCTCTGTCTTGGCTTTCAGAGGTTTCAAGCAGAGAACAGTCGAACAGTCCCCTTCCCAGAGTTCTTGAAAGTGCTGAGGGGTGAAATACAGACTAGACTGGCAAAAGGTGACCCCTTTTAGAGGACTTGGGACCAGAAACCACTTGCACAGATCCCAGACCAGGAGAAGCTATGAGCCCTTCTGCTTTGGCTGGCATAGGCAGCCGAGCAGGTGGCTGTGGGTGGTGAGGGCGTCAGCCCATCCAGCCATCCTACGCCAGAGTCTTAGACCTGACACTGCCTGCCCTCTTCAGACCACAGGGGTCTCCATCAGGTGCCACTGCTTACCCATAGGTCTCAGCACTGCTGAGGACATGGCCCTAAACCTTGGACCCCACAAACTCAGCAGGCATCTATTAAGTGCCAGCTCTGGCCCAGAACTGCCTCCTGGTACCTCCTGGTACGGTGGCTCCCAGGAATCTCCCTCCACCCTCCATCTGCCAGTTCAGCTACCTGCCCAACATCTGATCTCCCCTCTCTGCTCAGGGATGACCATGATTTTATGATCATGTAAATGCCTCACAGCCACTGAGCCCAGGACTGCTGGAAATACAAACCTTGTTCCCCGACTTCTGGGTTCTGTGTCCCACGAAGTCCTCAATTCCTTATGGGGCATTTTGAGCTAATACTTCTAGTTTTCAGTTCTTTTACCTTTTAAAATTTCAAGTTGTGGTAAAATATATGTAACAAAATCTACCATTGTAACCATTTTTAGACTTGTAGCTTAGGGGCATTGAGTACATCCACACTACTGTGTGGTCCTCTCCAGAATATTTTATATATTGTGCAATTGAAACTTTATCTACTGAGCAACTCTCCATTTCCTCCTACTTCTCAGCTTCTGTGACCTGAGTGTCCTTTCTGAGAAGAATACTACAAGACCCGCCCTTTTGTGTTTGAATTTTTTCATCTTTTTTTAGTACCAGGAATTGAACTCAGGAGCTCATGTTTGCCAGACAGGCTCCAAGCCACTGAGCTACACCCCCAGCCCAACCTTTTTTCACTTATCAAAATGATTTCCTGACCCCTCCATGTCCCATGTCAGAATGTCCTTCCTTTTAAGGATGAATAATATTCCACTGAATATCTGCACCTCAGACATTATTTATCCATTCATCTGTCCATGAACACAGGTTGCTTCAACATCTTGGCTTTTGCAAATAACACTGCTCTGAGCAGGGGGTGTATAAATATCTTTGTTTCAGTTCCTACTTTCAATCTCTTTTGGGTGTAGACTCAAAAGTAGAACTGTCGAATCCTATGGTAATCTTTTTTTTCTTCAGTATCAGGGATCAAACCCAGGTCCACTCTACTATGGAGATACATCTCCAGCATTTTCATTTATTTAAAAAAAAAAAAAAAGGTTTTAGACAGGGACTAAGTCACTTGGTTGCCCAGGCTAGCCTCGAACTTTCCACCCTCCTGCCTCAATCTCCCTTGAAACCACTTGCCTAACTGCTTTTCATGTTTCAAGGGATTGCTGTACCATCTTCTACAGCAGCCCCACCATTTTGCATTTCCCCCAACAGCACATTAAAGGTTCCAAGTTCTCCGCATCCTTACCATTTGTTAATTTGTTGGAATTTTTCTTCTTCTTCTTCTTCTTCTTCTTCTTTTTTTTCTTCTTCTTCTTCTTTTTTTTTTGTGGAGCCAGGGCTTGAACTCAGGCCCTTGCGCTTGCCAGGGAAGTGCTTATTCAACTGAGCCATCTCCCCAGCCCCTCTTCTTTTCTTCTCTAGACAACCATCGTCTTGATTCTGACTGTGGTCTAGAGGGTTGCAAAGCTTTTGCCCAGAGTGTCCCGGCTGCATATCAAGACAGGATCTGTAGGGAAGAGTGAAGAGGGGAATTAAAGCTGTTAGGCTTCTGGAGGCGGGATCGGGCATGTTTCCAAGGTCTGGGCAGGTCTCCCTTCAATTGAGCTCACCTTAAGCAGCACCAGGAGCAGGGGGGCTCCATGGAACTTGGAGAGTGGCCCCTTCCCACTCCCTGCAGCCTCACACAAGCATTGCCTGTAACAGGTGTCATCTATGAAGGGCCGATGTGCCCCAGGTCTCATGCCCTCATGAATATTGGCTCTGCTAAGTAGGTCTTGAGGACCCCTTGCAACAGGTGTGGAAACTGAGGCTCCAGGAAGTAAAACAATTTGCCTGAGGCCACATAGCCTCAGGATGACTCAAGAATTCCCCTGGGGAGCAGGGGAAAAGCTTCTGGGGAAAAGTCTGAAGCGAACCTTAATATCACCAGGGGATGCTGACTGGGGGAACCTGGGAACACAGGACTGGCAGGCAGGGAGGGCTTCCCAGAGGAAAAGGGGTATGGGGACAACCTGAGGATGAGGGCTGCCTAGGAGATGACCAGGGTGAGCAAGGCAGTGGGGCACACACTACCTCCTCTCTCCCCAGCCTTCCTGTCTACTGGCCTCGGTGTGCTCGCCTCCTCAGAGACCTACTCTCTACCTGTGAGCAGCTCCAGCTGGGAGCCCCCAGTGGGGACACCGTTCCTATCAGGTCCCTGCACCAGCTCCTCAGAGGCCCAAGCCATGGCTGAGACCCCCAGCCAGAGCCCCAAGAACCCACGCGTGTCTGGTGTGACAGTTCAGCTGGAGATGAAGCCTCTTTGGGAGGAATTCAACCAGCTGGGCACCGAGATGATTGTCACCAAGGCGGGCAGGTATGGCATGGGAAGTGGGGCAGGGAAGGGGCCAGGGCTAGGGTCACTTCCGGGCTACTGAGCACCTCCCTCCTGCAGGAGAATGTTCCCCACCTTCCAGGTGAAGATTCTGGGCATGGACACGCTGGCAGACTATGCCCTGCTCATGGACTTCATCCCACTGGATGACAAGAGATACAGGTCTGGGCTAGCTGGAGTGGTGGGTGAAGATCTGGGGCTCTGAGAACAGGAATTAGATCCATGGGGCCACAGCTACTGGCAAGAAAAACCCAACTCAGGGTAATGGGCTAGGCTGGGACAGGCAGAGTGGTCTAGCTCAGAATAGCCAGGGTTATCTTGACTCCTACCAGCCAGGGATGCTGTAGGAAACTCAGTTGGAAGTATTATTTGAGGCTTGGCTCTTCCTCTGCAAGATGGCCTCCAGGCCAGGTGGGCAGTGCTAGAATGGCAGCCCCTTTGCCCAGCAGTAGTGGCGGAGCTTGGTGTGGGTGGGGACAGCCCTCAACACCTCCCTCTGCTCTCAGGTACGCCTTCCACAGCTCAGCCTGGTTGGTGGCGGGCAAGGCTGACCCGGCCACACCTGGCCGCGTGCATTTCCACCCTGACTCACCGGCCAAGGGTGCCCAATGGATGCGTCAGATCGTGTCCTTTGACAAGCTCAAGCTGACCAACAACCTCCTGGACGACAATGGCCATGTGAGGCCCGGGCCACAGTGGGAGGGGCTGAGCTGAGGTGGAGCACTGGGCCCTGATGGTGATAAGGTCTAGCTGGCCTTGCCTTCCACGGTGCCCAGTGGTCTTAGCATCCAGTAGCCCTGCCCAATGCTGCTGGTCAAGCTCTCTTGGCTGGGGTTGGCTGGCACACAAAACTGTCCAGGCAGGTGGGCAGTGGGCGGGGGTTGGGAAACTTTCTCCCAGGGAAGAAAGCACAGGCCAGGACTGTAGATGCTAGAACACAGCCCTGTGAATTCTCTGTCACATAAATTCCTGCCTTTGCCAGGCTCACAGCTGGGGTCAAGGTAGATAGAAAGGTAGAAGCCCAAGAGATACTAAATTCAGTCACAGATAGTAACAAACAGAAATGGGATCCAGGGGAGTGGGAAACAGGAAGATGAGGAAATATTTGAACTGAGACTCGAGGAAGTGAGGAAGAGAGGAAATCTATGCATGTGAGAGGGTGAGCTGCTCCAGGCGCAGGAGACAGCAAGTGCAAAGGCCCTGAGGCTGGAGGAACCATAAGGAGGCTCCCTGTGGCTGTATTACAGCATGAAGGGCTGATCAGGCAAGGCTTGTCGCCCAAGGTTGACAGATTTTTCCTTTCGTAAACCAGGGGAGTCCTATGATGTGCTCTGCTAAGGCTGAATGAGCACACGGATGAGGTGGAGGTAGGGAGGTCAGTCAGAGTAGAGCTGAAGAACTCGAGAAAGGTGATAGTGTCTGGGTGGTATGGAGGCAGTGATGGGGCAGTGGTCAGATTCTGGACAGTTCCAATGGTAAAGCTGAGAGGTGGATTATGGGATGACAGTAGGCAAAACCACTCAAGCACAGAGGGGCTCAGACGAGTTCACCGGGTTTGCAATGGCCCCGTCCCCTGAACACAGCTCCACCCCTCCCACAGATCATTCTCAACTCCATGCACCGCTACCAGCCGCGCTTCCATGTGGTCTTCGTGGACCCTCGCAAGGACAGCGAGCGCTACGCTCAGGAGAACTTCAAGTCCTTCATCTTCACTGAGACCCAGTTCACAGCCGTGACAGCCTATCAGAACCACCGGGTGGGTCTGGTGAGGGCAATTTTCACAAGGGTGGAGACTGAGGCCTGGGGCTTTTCGGCCACTTGCCTATCACCCCAGGCATCTACCTCCAGCATTATCCTGCCTTCCTGTCCTCTGGCTCCAGAGTTCCTGGGTTCCAAGGGGACAGAGTAGCTGACTCTGGGCCCCATAATCCTTCACTGGCTCAGTACCAGCCTATAACTGCTTTCTCTCTATAGATAACCCAGCTGAAAATCGCCAGCAACCCTTTTGCCAAGGGCTTCAGAGAGAGTGACCCGGATTCCTGGTACTGTTTGGCCTCCAATGTTCCATTCAGCCGCCCTAACTCCAGCCTCCCATCTCTACCCCAAACATTTATTAAGCCCTCAACCCCTGACCCTGTTATAGGAGCACACCCTCTGCCTTGTCCTGGGGTCCTACCATCTGACTGACCGATACCCCCGGCCTGAGTTCTTCACCTTGACTCTGCCCTGCTTCCTGCTTGTCCCATCTTCAGGCCTGTTACTCCACGGCCCCTGCTCCATATCCCAACCCGGAGTCACAGCAGCCTCAGTGCCTGCCTGCTGAAGCGCCCTCAAGAGCAGGACAAAGGTAAGGCCCCGCCCAGACGCAGCGGGCACAGCCACAGTGCCTTCAGCAAGTTAAGGAGGCAGCGATTCCTAGGACAATATGAGGCTCAGTGGAAAGAGAACAAGACAGGGACCAGGGGCCAAGAGCAAAGTGGGGGGTGCCAGGTGGGCTGCTTGGAGGAGACAGTTGGTTTCCCAGCTAAGCGTTGAAGACTGGGAAGAGTTTGGAAGGGGGAGGGGAAGAAGTTCTAGACAGAGAAGAAAACAAGGGCAAAGGCTAAGCTAGGCCAAGACAGGCAACTCAGGACCACGGTGGCAGGGAAGGAGACGGAGCAAGGCTGGGAGGAGGGCTGAGGACATGGCCTGGGAGCCACTTGGACCATTTTCTCCCTCAGACCTCAACAAAACTTCAGCCTCCACCTCCAGGACCCCTGCCCGGTTCCATCAACAGCTGCTGCCTCCTCCTGAGGCCCTCCTACCCCAAGCTACCTATAGGCCCCTCACTTACCAGGCCCCATACCCTGGAGCCCCAAGCCACCTTGGAATCCCAAGGACCCGATCAGCACCGTACTCCATCCCCAACATCCGGGCTGATGGAAACCAGGGAGGCTTGACCCTCTCAACTGGGCTGGGGTTACTGTCCACCACCATGTGCTTGGGGCCTGGGCAAGACTCTCAGTGATGGTAGAAGCCCTGGGGAAGCCCTCCTACTCTGGACAACTGCCAGCCCCCACCCCTTATTCCCCACAGCCCCTGTGAATCAGCCTCTGCACCTTCCCAACCCCTGCTCTGCAGGCTCCTCTCAAGGAAAGCAGAGCAGTTAGAAGCCTCAGAAGGAGGCTACCTGCCCAGTGTTGGCCATGCTGGAGCAGTGCCAGGATTGGAACCAGGCCTCTTACCTCCCACCCCAGCAACTAAGAATCCTTCCCCTCCTGCCTTGGGTGCGACTCTTCCAAATCCAGTTATACTTTTCCCTTGTCCTCAAAATTAAACCATTTGGCATGAGTCATCAGAGCACTTGTATCCTCAGGAATTCCTAGACCTGAGTCTCCAAACCAGCTCTGTATTCATCACGAAGCTGTCCAGTGGTTTCCACATTCCTGGGAACCCAGTTACAATAAAGGTGACACCAGCCAAACAGCACAGAACTAAACCCTACAAGGGATGATGGGGTTCTCACTTTGTGTGCCCAGATGAGATTTGAAACTGGCCCAAAGAGGCACACAACGTGTTCAAAATCACACTGCAAAGTATGGCGAATGACATATGCCATTCCACGTTCAAGCGCTTTGAGCAAGGCTGGGGCCATCTGGTTCTCAAAGGGTGCAGAACCACAACAGGCAGTGACCACAGGGTAGGAATGAGGCTAAGGATTTGAGGATCTGATCAAGACTCCGGCAAGCAGAGAACAGGTCTGGGCAGCCCGTGGCTGGAGTGTTCTGGGGGCAGCGCGTGCCGCCCAGCAGCTCGACTCTTCGGGTTCTGCACATCCAGGAGCTCTTCCTATGGAACTCTCAAGCGAAGGACGGGCACTCGTGGGGCGAGGGTGCCAGGTATCCTAATTCCCGAACCTGGCGGTCAGAAGGACTGAGCCCAGTCGACAGGCCTCATCTGGTGCCAGGCCACATCTGGTGAGAGGGTCAGGGAGTACTGGTAACCGACCCTCCGAGATACGGACCAGATAGGCTCCCGGAAAGCCAAGCCTCGGCCTGAGCCTTAGCCTGCTCCTTCCGGCTACGCCCCGCCAAGTTGCGAGGCCACGCCCCGGTCCTTAGGAGAAAACTTTCCGGCTTAGGCAGCGCCGGGTAACGCCTGGTTCCGGCCCCTCGCAGCCTTCAGTGGTGCTCCCGCCACGGCTCCGGCTCCTTCCGGCTGCACGCGAGGCCCTGCCCTCTCGCGGTCCGCAGGCCCCTCACCCCACCCCGGGGAGCTAGTCGAGAGTCTCAGGCTCTCGGGCCAGCGCGGCCCGGCTCCGCCCCTCGCTCCCCGGCCGGTGTCCTCGGTGTCCCCGCCGCGCAGACATGCTGCTCGACTCCCTGTCCGCGGAGGGCGAGCGTCGCTGCCGGCAGCTGTTGACAGAGACCACGGCCCGATTCCGCGCTCGGCCCGCGGCGGCCGCGGTGCTCGTGCCGTTGTGCTTCGTGCGCGGCGTCCCGGCGCTGCTGTATACGCTGCGCTCCAGTCGCCTGGCCGGGAGGCACAAAGGGGACGTCAGGTACACCGGCTCTGAGCCCCGGAGACGCCAGGGACCTTGGGAAAGGCACTTAGCCCCTCCGAGCCTCGGTTTCGGTCTCTGTAAAGTGGGTCTGGGGAGAACCTGACAGCGCGCGGCTGCGGCGAGGCCTGAGGAACCCTTGGCTCTCCTCGCCGGTGGCCCTACGCGAGCACGATGTCCCGGCTCGCAGAGTCGGGCTGCTTGGTACTCCTCTTTCTGAGCTGTTTCACCCTCTGAAAAGCCAAGATGCCGCCCCCTACCGACTGCTATAGAGTCAAGTCCAGATCCCAGGACAAACTTGGGGCCGCCTTGGCTAATTGACACCGTAGGATCAGCCGTCAGCACCTTCCAGTGGGGCATCTGAGCCCCAGGATTTTGCGCCGGCTGCCAGACCCTTATATCCTACAGTGCCCAGGGTCTCTTCCTTACCATATTGCTCAGGAAAGTGAACCGGCCCTTCCACTTAGCTTCTTCCAGGCCTCACAGCACACGAGTGGCAAAGGCTGATGCTTAGGCAGGTCGCTAGCCTTCTGGCACGGCTCACACCGCCACCTCTTCAAGAGCCCAAGGACCACACTCCCTGTGCCCATTCAGTTTCCCAGGCGGCAAGCGTGACCCTGCTGACCAGGATGTGGTGCACACAGCTCTGCGGGAGACGCAGGAGGAGCTGGGCCTAGCCGTGCCCAAGGAGCATGTGTGGGGGGTCATGAGGCCTGTGTATGACCAGGTGAGCCGCCAGGCCCCCGGCCACCCTCCCCTCACCCTGCACCGTCCCTGGGTTGGGAACTAGAACCTCAGAGGCAAGGAGTCAAAGATTGCTATAGTCTCAGAGTGTGGCACAGTGCCCTAGCACCTGCCTCCCAGTCAGTTCTTCATCCACTGGCAGCGACTAGGGGAGGGAACAAGTAGAGGTAGGCTCCAGGGGAGGGGGAGAGCCAGCGCTGCTCAGCTTGGAACAGGGATGGAGGAAAGCTTCACAGGGTAGGCAGGGATTGATCCTGGGCTTGCATGAAAAATGGGAGATTTTAGGGCAATAAGGGGAAGGGCAGGGGGTCCCAAGTGGGGGCATCCATCTGCAGAGGCTTAGTGTATTTGGGACCCTGAGTCAGTCAGCATGGATGAGCTGAGGACAAGATCAGGGGCTGGTGAACTGAAAGCCTCTGGATGGCAAGTAGGGTCTTCCTTGCAGACTCCCCGTAGCAGCCCAAAGTCCAGCTGCAGCCGCCATGCCTGACTGCCTACCCTCCTCTCACCCCAGACAAAGGCCACTGTGGCTCCAGTGCTTGCCAGTGTGGGCCAGCTGGATCTGCAGAGCCTCAGACCCAATCCCGATGAGGTGAATGGGGTACCCCAGGAAAGTGGGCTGACCCACTGGGGAAGGATACAGAGGCTGGTCTTCTTTCTACCTTGTCTCTGCCCCCTGCCCACAGGTGGAAGAGGTATTTGTGCTGCCCTTGGCACACCTGCTGCAGACGCAGAATCAGGGTTATACCCACTTTTGCCAGCATGGCCACTTCAGCTACACACTGCCTGTTTTCCTGCATGGACCACACCGTGTCTGGGGACTTACTGCTGTCATCACCGAATTCACCCTACAACTGCTAGCCCCTGACACCTACCGACCTTACCTGGTCAGATCTTGGCTATCCAGTGACTGAAAGTGACTTGCCCTCCAGGACTGAATAAAGTGTTTTTGGTTACTCTGGGCTCCTGTATCTTCTGTACAGAAGCCCTGACTTGAAGCAGAACCTGAGGCCTCTGGTGGGACATTTCCATCAATTTTCACTGTTTTGCACAGCAGGGACACTTCCTAGGTGTCAGGTACTTGGAGTCATTTCATTTCACTCTCAACAGCTTTGTGAGATTCCTGACTGATAAGGCTGGAGCTCAGGGGGACAGAGTCCTTGTTGTAGAGCACCCCAGCTGGAATTTGAACTGGGCCTCTCTGGCTTGGAAGGCCAGCTGCTCATTGCTGCACTGCACAGGTCTCCATCTGCTTCTCCCATTTTCTCCATGTGCCTAGCTGCCCCCCGGGCTGGGCTCTGGGATCCAGAGACGAGTCCAGTGCAAGCACTCCCCAGATGCCGCACGATGCATGCCACAGTGTCAGCACCAGGCAGATGCCACCCTGCCCTCCAGAGGCAGGGGTGCTCAGTCTGGGGAGAACTTAGACCGGGTCACACCGATAATGGTTTGACTGTACACTAATAAATCACAAATAATAGTGGAATTACACATCAGTTACGAGACAGTTTAAGGGTGATGATCAACCTTGACATAGTGATAGGAGATTTCTTGGGCAGTATCATCCAGGACAAGTAATAGAGAACTCCACCCACCAGCTAGCCTTATCTGAGGAATGGTCATCACAGACCCAGAGATGGGTAGCTTCAGGCATGGCTAGCCCAGGGGCTCAGCGCTGCTCCTTTCCTACTGTGCTGGTTTCACTCTCAAGGAGGTTATCTTTAGTCCAGAAAGGGCCACGGCTCTAGAATGGCACAGCACCACCATCCGGCAAGGGGAAGCAGCTTCTCTTCACCAGGCAGTCTAACCCAGAATTGTGCTCTATTAGCAGCTGTAGTCACATGCACTTTCCTGAGATCATTATGTAGCCTGCTGAATTTAGGTTACATTGGCAGGGCCTTGGGTACAGACCTGGGGAAGAGGGTGAACCTCCTGGACTGATCTACAAACTACATTACAAACTTCAGTATAATACCTGAAATAGCAAAACTAGTAGAAGAAACCATAGAGGAAATGTTCCAGATATTGGTATGGGTAATGGTTTCTTTTATAAGTTCCTATAAGTGCAGGCAAGAAAATAAGAAATATGGGATTGCATTTTATAAACAACCAAATGAACAACAACAAAAACCCCACACAGCAAAGGAAACAACAGTGAAGAAGCAAAGTCCATATTGGGAGGAAATAGCAAAGGCATATGTCCAGTTAGGGACTAATGTCCAAATTATATAAGGAACTCAATAGTGAGAAAGCAACCTATTTTAAAATGGGCAAAGGAGCTGACTAGACATTTCCCAAAAGGAGACATACAGATGGCCAACAGATATAGGAAAAAATGCTTAATACCTAATTATTAGGGAAATGCAAATCAAAATCATGAGATTTTTTACCTCACACCCGTAGAAAAATAATTCATAAAGATAAAAGAGGTAGAGTGCGTGTCTAGGGTACATGAGGCCCTAGGACCTGTTCCTCACATTACAAAATAAGTAAAAAGATGAAGTGTCAGGAGCATGTCAAGACCAGAAAAATCCCTATACACTGTTGGTGGGAATGTAAATTTGGTCCATTTTTTTGAAAACAGTATGGAGGGTCCTTAAAAAACTAAAGTACTACTATGTGATCCAGCAATCCCACTTCTGGGTAAATACTGAAAGGAACAGAAATGGGTATGTAAGAAAGATATCTGCACTCTCTTATTTATTGCTTCAGCATTATTCTCAAGCCAAGATGTGGAATCAGCCTCTGAGTCCATCAGCTGATAATGAAAGTATGGGCTATACACGCAATGGAATATTATTCAGCCTTGGTAAGAGATTCTTTTATTTGCAACAACATGAATGAAGTTGGAAGAAAACACACTTAGTGAAACAAGCCAGGCAAGACAAATATGACTCTGTTTTTATGTGGGGTCTAAGAAAGCTGAACTCCTAGAAAAGTGGTTACCAAAGTGGGGAGACTGGGAAAAGCAAATAGTTAAAGGGCACAAAGTTTTAGTTATAGGAGGAATGAACTTTAGTGACCCGTGCGCAGCATGGCTGTCATAGTTAATAATAACACACTATCAAAATAATTTTAAATTAGGCATGGTGGTGCACGTCTGTGATCCTAGCACCCTGGGAGGCTGAGACAAGAGGACCGCAAGTCTGGGCCCAACCTGGGCAACTTAGCAATTTATCAAGACCATGTTTTTTTTTTTTTTAAAGCTAGGGATATAGCACAGTTCAAAGACCCTAGACTCAATCCCTAGTACTAAAAAAAAAAAATGTTCTTAACCCCTAAGCAGTAAGTAGTCAAGGCATTGGTTATATTTGTTAGCTTGATTTAGTATTTTTATAATGCACACTTATGTTAAAAATATCACATTGTACTCCATGAACATCTACAATTACTATTTCTCAATTAAAAAGTTCAAAATACAAGAAAGCCAGGGAGAGAAAGGGGAAAGGGAGATGAGGAGTTGAAGCTGGCTGAGGTCCATTGCAGGGGTGACCTGGTGCCAGAGGTGGAAGAACCAGGTAAGAGACCAGTCCAGGCAGCAGGCACGGTGGGCAAGGTCTGGGGAGCTGAAGGCAAGAAGAACAACATGGAGGGAGGGGAGGCCCCACAAAATGAGGGCCAGGATGAGGTCAAGGAGACCCTCCTAGGTGAGGAAACAGGGGACAACCCTTGAGCATGGTTGGGATTGTACTCCAAGCCAGGAGAGGGGTAGAGGGGTGCTGAAATGTTCTTGCACCTCAAGGGGGACTAGATTTCAGGGCCCTCCTCCCTGTACCCACTCCTTCCCGCACCCACCAATTCCCATGTGCCCCTCCCTTCCTCCCAACTTGCACCCCAGCACCCCAACTTCCTCCACCTTGCTCCCTCCCCACATACCTCTACCTCCTCCTCCCATTTACCCTTCACTTCCAGACAGCCACCCCACCCCTTTTCTCACCTCTGGCCCCCCCAGCCTCCTCACCTGGGTGCAGAACCACATGATGGTGGTAAAAATAACTACTTCTGACAGTGTGTGAATGGAGGGGCAGAGGCAGGAGGGGCTGCTGAAGGTGAGATGGGAAGGTGCAAGCTCCAGATTCTGTGCACATTCCTGCTGCCTATCACACCCTTCAGATCCCCTCAGCGACTGCACCAGTGGCAGCGGACCAAGCCAGTGGTGCTCAATGGGTGAGGAGCCAAGCGTGGACTCTGGATTCCAGGTCCCACACACATCTGCCCCACCTTCCAGACTAGAGCCCCAGCCCGGCCTGCCTTGACCTTGGGATCTCTTTCCTAGGACTTCCAGGTGATCCCTGTGATGCCTCTGTGTTCTGTCTTGGTGGCTGGGTATGGTGGCCCTGACCCTAGTCCACGTGGGCTGCAGAATTCCCTAAGCCCTTGGCCCCATGTCTGAGCCCCCATGGAGGACACTGCGCCAGAGGGCTGGCGGCGGCCACGGGTGAGCATGCAGGAGCATATGGCCATCGACGTGAGCCCGGGCCCCATCCGGCCCATCCATCTCATCTCTGACTACTTTCCACACTTCTACCCCTTTGCCGAGCCTGTGCGTTGTACCCCCGACTTGCTCCCAGCTACAGCCACAGCCAACTGCTCCATACCCCAGCTGCAGCTCGACCAGGAGCCAGAGGCAGACTCCGATGACAGCAGTGAGTAGAGGAGAGGGCAAGGGGTCATCCCTGGATAGGGCAAAGGCTTGCCTAGAGGGACTAGGCAGGCACTCTCCCATGGGGGCCAGGTCAGCCAAGGCCAGGACTGACTGTGCCTGTCACCTGTCCTTAGCTGCCCTGGGGACCCTTGAATTCACGCTTCTCTTTGATGCGGACAACAGTGCCCTGCATTGCACAGCCCATAGGGCCAAGGTGAGGAGGGGTTGGGGAACCCTGGAACCCAGATGTGGACCAGAGGCCTATTTCACATCCACTGTCTGTTCCCAGGGCCTCAAGCCACCAGCTACAGGCTCCGTGGACACGTATGTCAAAGCCAATCTGCTTCCAGGGGCCAGCAAGGTAAGGTCAAGCCCCAGGCCCTTGTAGCTGCCCTTTGGGTCCCTGCTTTGTCCCCATCCTCAGGACCTGGATCTCAGTTGATGGGATTGAAAGGCAGAAAAGGAAGAAGGTGCAGTGGCTGACACCCACCCCTGCTTGGCCCCCAGGCCAGCCAGCTTCGGACCCGCACTGTTCGGGGCACGAGGGAACCTGTCTGGGAGGAGACACTCACCTATCATGGCTTCACCCGCCAAGATGCTGGGCGCAAGACCCTTCGGTGAGAATCAGACAGGGCGACTGGGGTGACTGGGCTGGGGAATGGGGCTTGTATGGCCAAGTGTAACCTGGGCAACATTAGGTTGTGTGTGTGTGAGGACCCAAGGCTTCGGCGACGCCGGCGGGCACCTCCTCTGGGGGAGCTCCGGGTGCCCCTGAGGAAGCTGGTGCCCAACCGAGCCAGGAGTTTTGACATCTGTCTGGAGAAGCGCAGGCTGGTAAGTGGGGCTATGTGGATGGAACCTTGTCATGCACCCAGAGGGGAGGAGGGCAGCTGCACTGGGCAGTGTATGGCTGAGGTGACAACCTGCTCTGCTTTTTTCAGACTAAGAGGCCCAAGAGCCTGGACACAGCCCGTGGCATGTCCCTGTATGAGGAGGTAGGTAGGCCTGCTGGGCTGAGCAGGGGTTGGGGTGGCAGGCCTTGACAGCCCAGGCTGAACTACATCCGGCAGGACACAGATGGGCTGGTCAGGGGTCCAGACCCAGGTGGACTTGAAGAATTTGGGGCCACGTTTTCCATGGGCTCTGAGTCCTCCTAGACCCCAGAAATGATCAAGGCCCTAACGGCTGAACAGGGGGACTGTGACTACCTTGCTAGGGCAGCATGCCAACAGGGATTCCTGTGAAAAACCAGCAGTGATGTAGCAACCTTGAGGCAGAGACTGAGGGTGGTATCTGACTGCGGCCCGAGATGAAAGGCTGGAAGGAGAGAATAAGCGGGCCAGGCCGGGTGTCCTAGAGCAGCTGAGAGGCACTGAACGTGACTACAGGGTTTCTCCCATACTACCTGAAACCAAACACCTGGCCACAAGGTTTGTGCACCCAGGAAGGGCAGGTCCTCCTCCACTGGCTCTGTGAACAGAGGGTCTGGTGCCCGCCTCCTAGTGGAGCTAAGTCGCCGCAGCTGCCAATTAGCTACATCAGGCCTGTGAAGTCCCAGTGGGTGGTGGACATCACTGAACATCCTGCGACACAAACCTCATCCCTGTTGCCTTGCACCATGCCACACTGCATGCAGCTGCTCCTGAGAACTGCCTGTGACAAGGTGGCTGGGCCTTGCAGTCCAGCTCTCCACTAAGCGTGGGAGAAGAGGCACACACTGTCCAGGCATTTTGAGTTGGGAACACAAGTGTCTCAGAGTGTAGCAAAGAACATTCAGAATTTGGCTTCCAGAACAGCAAGGGCAAAGACAGTGTGAGTGCTGAAGGTGAAGAGAACTACTTATCCTTGGGCCCCTGGGCAGAGAACAGTCTCATAGAGTTGCTTCCATGGCAACTGGGCTGCCCTGAAGGAGTGGTTCTGGGCATGTTGGAGGCCACTATGGATGGGCCTGACATACTTGTAGCACAGTACTTCCCCTTCCCTCCATGACAAAGACATACTCAACTGACCAATAAGCCCCTCCCTTTCTCAGACCTTTGAAGATACAGCCAATCCAGGAGTAGCTGGGGTAATTACATCTTTGCCCAGCTATCTCTTCAGCCAGCTTGAGCTGGCTCCTATTTGGGGCCTGGACATAGGATGGAGGTTGGGCTGGATGGGGCTGACCACAGCCTATACTTACAGGAGGAAGTGGAGGCAGAGAAGGCTGGGGAGGAGCGTGGGCGCATCCTGCTGTCCTTATGCTACACTTCCCAGCGGGGTGGTCTGCTGGTGGGCGTGCTGCGCTGTGCCCATCTGGCTCCCATGGATGCTAATGGCTACTCGGACCCTTTTGTCCGCCTGTGAGTAGAGAGTGGACAGGCGGGCAGTGAGAGCAAGGTGGTAGGCCCTCACCTCTCCAGGGCCATACTTCCTCCATTCATTTCCCCTACCAGTTTCCTGCATCCAAACTCAGGCAAGAAATCTAAATACAAGACGAGTGTTCGGAGGAAGACTTTGAATCCTGAGTTCAATGAGGTAAGCCAAGCATGGCCTGTGCCTGGGCCTTTTTTTTTTTTTTTTGCAGAACCGGGGATTGAACTCAAGCCCTTGCACTTGCCAGGGAAGTGCTTATTCCACTGAGCTGTCTCTCCAGCCCCTGAGCCTACTTTCGATTTTTTTTTATGTACAAAGGGTCTGCATGGTCTCTTTCATTGAGCATGTGTATGGCCTGGATAATCCATCAAAGAAAGATCACTTAATCCAACTAGATGAAGCCGATATCCGTCATGTACTGACAGAAACACTAGCAGCACATATTCAGCCCGTATTTCCAGATCAGACCATGTTGGTTCACACAGACATGGCAAGAGAGCGCTGGCCAAATTTTCTAGGCTGGCTCTAGTAGAGCTGCTGGTGACCCACGTCGCTTCGAGAGGCATGAGGCAAAAGGCTGGAATTCGTGAGAAACCAGATTCTCCTTCCTGTCCTCTCCTGCAGGAATTCTTCTATGCAGGCCCTCGTGAGGAGCTGGCCAAGGCAGTGCTGCTGGTGTCTGTGTGGGACTATGACCTGGGGACAGCTGATGACTTTATTGGTGAGTCAGAATGCAAGGTGCTTGGGGGAGCTCCTTGGGCGCCTACTGGCTCCTGACCTGTTCCTCCTGCAGGTGGCGTGCAGCTGAGCAGCCAGGCTAGTGGAGAGCGCCTGCACCACTGGCGTGAGTGCCTGGGTCGCAGTGACCACCGGCTGGAGCTGTGGCACCCGCTGGACGGTGTGGCCCCCCAGCTTGGCGACTAACCATAGGACTGGGCTTGCAGCCTCCCCTCATGGCGGTGAGGATGACCCTGGAGCTGCAGGAGCACCTGGGCTGCCCCAGTTGCTATGCCCATCTTTTACCTTTCCTATCCCCAAGTTTTACCTTCACCTGCTCCAAATCATGAAGCCAAAATAAAGTTAATCCTTCTGACCAGACCCCAGCCTATCTTCTCTCTGGCCATGTGTTGTCTTCCTGGCTGCCACTTCACAGAGCAGACCTGCCTGTTGTCTCCCACCCTGCAGAAACCTTAGCTGGGCCAGGCCCAGCCCTCCCACCTTCCATGCCACCCTGACTCCTACACAAAAGGAGGGGGGACACAATCATGTCTGGTAACAGGCCTCCATGAGGAGTGGAGAGGGGGTGGCTGGCTGAAGGGCAAAGTCACCAACAAGCAACAAGAGAGTAGGGCATTTGCTTTAATGCCAACATCCCAGCAGATAGATACAAGAGAACAGTCCAGGGCACTGGGCTCAGGAGGCAGCCTGCTGGGCTTGGTGCTGCTGGGCAAAGCGCTGCATCCGATCTTCAAGCTCTGGCCGAAAGTGGCGGATCAGACCCTGGAAGGGAGTAGAAGGAGGCACAGTGTGAAGCAGAGACCAGCAATCCCCATACCCTGGGCTCTTAGCACATTCACCTAGTGCCACCTGCACTAGGTGCACTTGCACCCTGGGCTACCAGCAGGGCAGTGAGTACCTGCACGGGCCAGGCAGCACCATCACCTAGAGCACAAATGGTGTGGCCCTCTATCTGCTTGCTGATCTCCCACAAGGAGTCGATCTCAGCTGGCCGCGCATCCCCCTTCACGAAGCGGGCCATCACCTTGTTCATCCAGTCCACACCTGCAACCAGAGAAGAAGGGACTGCTGGTCTTCCATAGTCACAATGGAGGACAGCACTCGGGGAGACAAGTCACAAGAATGGGCGTGGAGGCCACATGAAGCCACGGCAATCAGACCCCAGCTCATGTGAGATGCTTACCCTCACGGCAAGGGGTGCACTGGCCACAGCTCTCATGCTTGTAGAACTCAATGAGACGGGCGATGGCTTTCACAATGTCGGTCTGGGAGACAGGAGCAGTAAGCCGGGGCCCTCGGCCAGACAGAAACCTGGCTGTCAGTGCCCAGCTGCAGCTGCTTGCCCAGGCTCAGTTCTGGCCTTCTGCAGCCTTCCTGGGCCCCAACACTGCCTTGCTGCACAAGGCACAAGGTGCTCTTCTTCTCCCATACCATGGGTATGTCAGGATGCAGGAACTGGGACCCAAGAGCCCAGTGAAGGGTTTTTAGAGAGTCCCAGGGAGGGACAGCAAACAGACTAGCATGAGAGGACTGGGGAGGACATGAGGCCAGCCCTTACCGAGCGGTCCATGACGATCACTGCGGCTGTGCCCAGGCCTGTCTGTGCCTGCACCAGTGCGTCAAAGTCCATCAGCACCGTCTCACACACGGACTTGGGTATCAGTGGGGTGGATGAGCCACCAGGGATCACAGCAAGGAGGTTGTCCCAGCCACCTATGACACCTCCTGGGGCCCCAAGTCAATCCCCAAAAGGAGTCAGGACTGGGGCCATCACACCTGCTTAGTTCTGGGCTAGGACCTTTGTCAGCCCCCAAGTGTAGCCCAGCTCCCAAGCCCCTCTCACCCTGGCCCCCCGCTTCTCAGACCCTGCCCCTCCACCCCCCCGCTGGCCCCTGGCCTCACCAGCATGCTTCTCAATCAGCTCCTTCAGGGGCACAGACATCTCTTCTTCCACTGTGCAAGGATGGTTGACGTGGCCAGAGATGTTGAATAGTTTGGTTCCCGAGTTGCGTTCTCGGCCAAAGCTGGCAAACCAGGTACCCCCACGACGGCAGATGGTGGGGGACACAGCCACAGTCTCCACATTGGCCACAGTAGTGGGGCAGCCAAATACTCCTTCAGGGAAATCAGAAGGGATCTGTGACCCCTGGGAAGTGGGGCAGGTTTCCTGGTGGTGGGTCTGTTTCAGTTTTGTTCCCATGGCTGAGGACCTCTGTCCTTATCGTTCTTCCCCCAGCTGAACCCAAAATTCTACAAGAGCTGTACCCCCTATTCACCATCACACCCCTGGCTCCTGGATCAGGGAGGCAGAGCACAAAGCCTGGGGCAGGGGATTTGCATGTCTGATATGGGTCTGAGGTACTGCGGGTGACACTGGCAAGGACTGTTTCTTATCACCACTCCCATCTCTTAACTGACCTCAGCCCAGATGGCACTAAGAAAGACCACAAGACCATCCAAAGGGACCTGGCCAGGGTTCCACAAGACACAGTGAGATAATGGCCAGGTCCCTTTGTATGAAGGAGTGGGGCTAGGTCAGGCAGGGTCTCACCTACATCAGCAGGGAAGGGTGGCTTCAGGCGTGGTTTGCCCTGCTTGCCCTCAATGGACTCGATGAGTGCTGTCTCCTCTCCACAGATGTAGGCCCCAGCCCCACGCACCACAAACACATCGAAATCGTAGCCAGACCCACAGGCATTCTTGCCAATCAGACCTGCCTCGTAGGCCTCTCGGATGGCCACCTATGGGACAAGGGTGTTAGTCCCCCAGCTTTTCCCCACCCCTGGAGTCAGCCTACAATTTCAGAGTCACACGGCTCTTAAAAGGTTCCCAAGCTGAGGCTCTGGAGCATAAAGGGAGAGCCCAGAGGCTTTGTGGGCCAAATCCTGTTCAGGATGTATGAAGGAGTGGTCACCATGCTCCCAGCTACCCCTGACAGACCAGCACAAACACCTAAGAACAGGTGTACTGGGAAGGGGCATGGGAACATACACTAACACCTTCTGCCTATCTATTCCCACCCCACCCACCTGCAGATTGGAGGCCTCATTGTAGAACTCTCCACGGATGTAGATGTAGGCAGCACGGGCACCCATGGCCCGGCCCCCTACTAGGCAGCCTTCCACCAGCTTGTGAGGATCGTGGCGCATGATCTCCCGGTCCTTGCAGGTGCCTGGCTCCCCCTCATCTGCATTCACCACCAGATACTTGGGCCTGTGGGGGCCCACCGGGCAGATAAACCAGTCTCACCAGGACTGACCCTTAAACCTCATGCTATCCCAGCTCTACCTGAAGAAGCCTCAAAAATGTTTCTTCCAACAGCCAATCCTCTTTTCCCTCCCAGCATACTTCCAGGGGCTCTGCTAGCTCACCACTAATGACAGGAAACAATCTGCTTAATCCATTTTCAGAGTGCAAACATCTCTGTGTTTTCTCTTGAGAGCCAAATTCTGCTCTTAATTCGAGCCTGCCTCAACCTCTACATTTCTGGGGTTAAAAGGAGAGTACAGAAGCTAACTTTTATTATTTTCTGTGTGCCAATCAAAGTACTGGTCAAAAGCTGAATAAGCATTATTTTTTAAATTCCAGCATGGTATCATTGCATACAAAAAGGGAACTTAAGTCCAGGTATAGTGGCACATGACTGTAATCCTAGTACTTAGGAGGCCGACGCAGGAGAATGGCTGTGAACTCAAGATAACAGTGAATTTAAGACCAGCCCGAACTAGTGAGACCTCTGTCTCAAAAAAACACAAAAAAACTAAGGTTTAAAAAGGCCAGGAGATTTCCAAAGCTCAACAAGTACTAGCAGGTAAAGTTGGGATTTGAACTAAGCTTCCCTGAATCAAAATCTTGTATTAGATTGATTCTGCTATACTTCCTGCCTTCCATGAATTAGTCCTGAGAGAACTACCCCACCTACTACTTATGGCCCAAGAACATCTTTCCACCCCATTTATTTTGTACTTTCTAATAGCTCCAAAGTCCGGGCAAGCTGTGGCCATCCCTAAGGTCTCTCCTATAACCATATCCCAGTCTCTCCCCTACAAACCTGCCATCTGAGGGTTTATTCATGAAGCTCCACTTGAGGCCAGTGGGGAAGCCAGCGCCTCCACGACCCCGCAAGCCTGAAGTCTTCATCTCACCCAGAATCCAGTCCGGCCCCTTCAGGAGAATCTCCTTTGTCTTGTACCAGTCACCTCGACTCTGGGCGCCTTTCAGCCTGCATAGAATGGGGACAGTAATACCAGGGAGAACCTCTATGGTACTCAGCAGGGCCAAGGGCAGTCTCACCTCCAGTCATGGCGACCATACAGATTGGTGAAGATGCGGTCCTCATCCTTCAGTGAGCCAAATGAGGTCTTCTTAGCTGCTGTCTGGGGAGACAAGAGGGTTATGAAGCCAGAAAACTCTGGGGCCTTGAGCAGTTGGGCTAGAAACTACAGATTCTTGAGTCCTCCTACTTAGAAGTGGCTATCCAGCAGAAAAGGCAAAGACCTAAGCTTCAAAACTCTTTGGGGCGGGCAGTAGCAATCCCAGCACTCCAGGCTGGTGGAGTACTGCTGCAATTCGAGGCCAGGCTGGACTACATAGTGAGTCCAAAGCCACCCAGAACTACATGGTGAGACCCTGTCTCAAAAAAGCAACAACAAAAACACCTCTTTGAAGCATCATAGCTACTAACACCACTTACACACTTCCTGTTCTGTGGGTACTGGGCTAAACATTTTATAACCAAAATATTCATTTTTATAACCCTGAGACAGGAATGATTTTCTGTCATTTTAAAGAGAAGGAAACTGAGGCTCAGAGTAAAAGGAATTTATGGAAGTCACACAATTAAAGGTGCAGATGGAATCTGAGTTCAGGGCAGGGCCTGGCCAAAACTCACACTTGAAGAAACGCATCATCATCACACCGTTTCTCCAAGACCAATGTGATGGCAGAGAGACCAGTGTGATGGCATATACATGTATTTGCCTTCTGCACCAAAACTTGGGTTAGGCCGAGGCATTATCTTATTAACTCTGCTAAAGAAATCAATTGTGTTTGTTGATAAAAACAGGAAGGAAAGAAGGAAGAAAGAAGAGAGGAAGAATAGTAAAGTTAAAAAAGGAGCGGGCTCACTGGGCTGGGCAACAAACGCAACGGAGGGCATCTACTTGGGATAAAATCGTCAGATACGGACTAGAATTCCACATACACTAGCAAAAAGCAACCCGGCTGGGGGCTAGGAGGACCTGACTGCCAGACTCCCATCCTTCAAAAACACTTCTCGACCACTGTAAGGAGGAAAAGCATTAGTAGGGGACTCAGGCTGTACACATCTCTTTCCAATGTTGTTTTATACATGTACAAAAACGGGCAATGATCCCGTCACACCCTTCAAGACTGCAGGCAAGTAATGAGAAACTAGAACTCTTCACAACCTGCAAGATTTCCTGCTAGGCCGAGAGGCTGTTAAAAAATAAGCCAGGTATCCGGACCGAGGTCAGTCGGCCTTCCGATGGGACCGTTCCCCCTCTACGACCAGGGCAGAGCACTGGCGTTCCTGCCGGGGATGGGGAGAAGAGAGGGCTCTGCAGAAGGCACCACAGACCCGAGGGACAAGGTAGCGAGGATGCGCCACGGAGAGCGAGACCCGCCCGCACACACCCAAGGCCCGAGCCAAGCCCGGCCTCACCGTGTCGCCGCTGAAACGAACGGATACCCGCGCGGGGAGCGACCCGCCGAGCAGCCGCCGTGCTGCGAGCATCGCGGAGGCCTAGCCGGTCACCTCCGGCTGTCACCTTCACAGCGCGGAGGTGTGGGACCGGCGCTACAGAGACCCTAGACGGCGCACAGGAAAAGCGTCATCACGCGCCTTTGAGCCGGCTGTCCATCCAGTCCTCCTTACCCCTCCCTTCTCTCGGTCCCGCCCACCAGGGCAGGGCAAAGGGAGGGCAGGACCGGAAGTGCCTGGCTGTCTCTGTGGCTTATGGGAGATGTAGTCCCACCGTCCAGGGGTGGGCTGTTGTAGGGCGTGTTTCCTTCTAGGTAATCCCAGCGCAAGAGCTGGGCTTTCTCCTGTGGGATCAACTTTTCAAACCTATAGTTAAAAAAAACAGAACAAAACAAAAACAAAAAATCTTGCACTTTCCCTTTTGCTGCATCCTGGTGTGTTCCACTTCTCTCACGTTTTCTATTTAGTGTGCACCTGCTGTATATGTATGAGAGTGTAGCGCAAGCAGTTGTGCCTTGGGAGCTCTACCAACCAGGGTCCTGGGCACTGCGTGCCCAGGGAAGAGTGCTCATTAGCCGCGCGGACAGCGGGGACGATCTGAATGCAAGCAGGGGTTCTTTGTGGACGTTCTTCCTGGAAAGGTGCGTCTGGAGCCCTCCGTGGTGTGAACACAGCCGATGTCGTAGGGTAGAAGAAAAAAATAGAAAGGAGACAAGGGAAATTCTAACTAAAATGTGCCCCATTAGAAAGACTACAACTGGTGAGACCCAGTCGAAGTTACCCAAGACGATTCCACACAGGCATTCTCTTGGCTAATTTAGGGTCGTTTCCTTCCAGACCCATCACACCCTAAATTCCTCAAGAATATTGAAAGACCGTACATTGGCTTAATTTAAGAAAGTAAGAGCAAGAACTTGGTATAGCAAAGGTTAAGAGAACCCAACGCTTAAAATTATCCATCTTTAAAGAAAAAACAGGGGC